CCATTAAGCCTAAAATGTTGTCAAATGATTTGATAACCAAAGTACACATTCAACTTACTCTCAATTCAGTCAGAAATATGTCAGATTATAAATTGAAGGCTCTAAACCATAATAGTTAAGCTGGTGTAACACAAATAAGTAAGATTAAGTATAGAGGTCCTTGCCTGCCACAGAAAGCAGCCCAGTGAAGCGCAGTCCATCCATTCACATCACGAAAATTTATACTAACTCCAGCAGTAACAGTAGGTTTTACCGCCCAATCGTAACCAAGTGCAGCCGCTAAATGTAGTACACCTTGCCCCTTCTCATCTAATATGTTTGGCCCCTTACCATCTTCCACTATTTTGTGAAGAAGCCATGAGTACAACTTCTCTTTCATCAATTTCTGAAGGAGCCAGTCCTTTTCTTCACGTTGAGGCAAATCCTTGTCAGATGAGGGGTCTACAATCTGGTGGCATTCCTCTTCCTCTTTCATTAATATAATTTTAGCCATCAAGTCTCGTTTCTCCCCAACACCTTCAAGATGATGATTAAGAGAACTGAGAGATTTCAGAGAAAGTAACATCTGAAATCGCAGCAGCATTTCAGTTGAAGCAACACCATAGATATGTGAAACATGTATGCCTTTAGCAAATCCGGCTCGGTAGTCAAATTCCCGAACTTCACTACAAGCTAACCTGTTGGAACATGTGACATAAAAAGGGACTTGCCCAACACTGTGAGGTGGAGCATGGCAAAAAAGAATGCCATCTGCAATAACCTCAGCCGGAACCTCCACTTCCCCAAACATACATGACCAGCTATATTTTGCTACTTCCTCTTGACTTTTCAAAAATGTTCCAATAATCAAAACCTGTTTCATGATGCAGAAAATGAGATGTCGAAAAGGTTAATTTTTACTAACTTAGCATCTGTCAAATAAGAATAGACATTTAAAGGAAGTGAGTGGGCAGGGACAGGGGCAGAGGGGTTGAATGACATTCAAAAATACTTACAATGAGGACGATAATGAACAAACAATAACCGTTAAAGTTAAAGAGAAAGAGAATAAAAGAATTATTAAATGAATGCATTGAGGGTTTCAAGCAGTTACATGCTAAGGCTAAGCACACACCAAAATAACAGACAAAAGTAAGCCGAATAGGATAAAGTTGAACAATGCACAACTAAAAAAAAAACAGGAAAAAATTAATCATTTTTTGCTAAGAAAGCTGGCAACAGAAAAGGCTTCATGAATAAGCAAGTAGTTCATTAAAATCCTCAATTTTGCTAGTTGCTGCAGAAACTTAACTCCAGAAACAATAAAACTTTAATACCTCAGTTTCCAAGTCCGTGTAAGCCCACTTTGGCGAAAAATCAACTATGCTGAAAAGTTGGTCTTGGGAGATAGAGGGGCTCAAAGAGGCATCATCAGATACATTTCCACACTCAACAGTGCTCCAGGCAATACCAGATGAGGACTGCATCTGCAGATCATCTACTTCTCCAAGTTCTTTAGTAATCCACCGAGAAAAACTGTCAACTTTCTTCAAGCTTTCTTCTCCATCAAGTAAGGATTTTTTCAGAGAGAAAGCATAGTTGATATTTCCCTCCAAATGCATATCATTCTCAGGATATGACTTCATGAAAGAATTAGTATCTGCATTGATGAGCTGAGTTTGAAGGTTTTTAAGCACAGGCTGCTCATTTAGAACATCATTATTGGTAAATTCCTCAAGAGCATTGGGTAAATGAAAATCATCAGTCTTTTGCTCAAATAACCTAGTATCATATGCCAATTCAAAATTTGATGACTGATCCATGGGCCATTTAGGCAACTCTAAGGCATTGTCAGCCAAAGGAATCTGAAACAAAAGCACTTGAATTAGAACATCTCTCTATTGGAACGAATTGAGAGAAAGATCCAAATAATTTAGACATCAAAAGTACAGAAAGTGCAAATGAATCTGTGAAGAAGTTGGTGATTAAACTGGATATTGTGACTACTAAGTCTGGTAATTACATAAAATCAAAGCATTAGTACACAAATCACAAGAAAACTAAACCTGACAGTTTCATTAACCATCAAAACTTTTAATAACCATGACATGGTTCAGTTCTGTACACCCAATATAGGATAAAAAGTGAAAAGAAAACCAACTTCTTGCCTAAAACATTTTGCATACCAAGAAACATCATTAAGACGTAAAAAAATTCAGCATTTTGTCTTACAAATTTCTACATGATTATAGATTATATATAAATACTTGCTTACAAAAAGTAATATACTTTTAAGTGTAAATATCAGCTTCCAAGCCTTAATCTTAGAAGTTTGACCATTACATGCAAACTATATGATTAATAGCTAGGGCAGAAAATTAATTGCCATAATTACCTGCCAATTTGATTGTGCTGGCAGAAGATTTCCAAACTCCTTGTCAGCACTCTCGACAGCTAATAGCTTGCCTTTCATCACTTGTTGCTGGCTGATGCTCATAGTATCAGGTTGGGCGGAAGCCATTGAAGCATGAGAAGATGCAACTGGATATACAGGCATATATTGCTCCAAGCCTCCTTCCCAAGATGCCAAATCAAGTGTTTTTTGAGCTTCAGTCATGCAAGTACCATAGTCAATACCCATAGGTCTATCTCCATGAAGATGTGAAACTTCATTTGCACCAGGAATTGATGACCGACCTTCATGATCACAGTTTAAGCCTTTCAAGTCACCATCAGGTTCAAATCCAAAATCATGCAAAAGCTTGATGCATAAAGCAATTAATAGAAGTGCATCGATGAAAACGAAATCATAAAAGACAACATTTACCTGGAAGGGGATGTGAAGAATAAGGATTCAAGAAGCCAGGATCCATCTTGTCCATCATAGTAGCATTCCCTATTTGGGGTGATGTAGGGAATCTAGAACTTGCTTGGTGACTGTCCTCTGCATGGGATCTCATGTAAGTTGCATTCAAGAGTTGCATGCATAATGAGGGAGTAAAAAAAAGGAAAGTTAAGCAGTACAATAGTCAAAAACCACCATTAAACTACATTAAATTCCTTATAGATTAAGATGATTAAAAGTCAAAGTGAGCCTCAATATATTGGCGAAAGCATATGAATATGAAAAAAAAAACACAAAAAAAAATACCGGAATCAGCATCTTCACATAAGGATGTCAACGTGCTGGTTGGGCTTGCAGAATCTGTATTTCCAGAAGGTGCTTTTGTATGACTAACAGAATAGCTAGAAGTCGAAGGACTGCTTGTTTGGGAATTTGATACATCAGTAGTCTCTCTGATGCCTCCAATTGTCCTACTGCCCTGAAAGAAAAGAAAGCCATAGTCTGAAATGAGAAAACTTCAACACATGGAAAGATCAACTATTGAAACAGCATACACGTGCATCAGGAAACATCTATAAACCAAGCCTAGAAACCAAACTGTCAAACAATTCATAACTTTGATCAGAAAACGGTAAGAGTTCTGCATAAACTAAAAAAAAAACATATATTTGTTAATGTTCAATCAATTAACATTAAAATTGTAATGCACAGGCAAACGTCCAAGGTCAAAATTTAGAACATTAACTTTTAGGAATTATGGATACTTAAAAGTTAAGCACCAATACAATTTCATGTGCAAATTCAGAACCTAGAATCATGTAGATAAACTCAACTAGCTTTGAATTAGGGCTTAAATAAGCCAACCTAAATTTTATTAGCTTAAGCTTAGGACCGATGACTGCAACAACTGCCAATTACAGTCGGTTCATGTGCAAGTCAAAATCATTCAATCCAAACACCTAAGCACCAACATCAAGATGTTTGGCACAAGCTATGATAGCCAACTGTTCCAATCCTTACCCATAAGTCTACAACAAACCAAAAGTAATGTACAACCCCCCAAAACCGGGTGAACTCTATAAGAAAAAGCAAGTGTTTATGAAGGCAATAGTAAATTGGAAAAATAGTCCAGGAGCACTAAGAGAAGAAGTGAGCAGTACCTTAACTTCCAAGTAGTGGACAAAAACTATATGCATCAACTCCCTATAAGATTAACAAAATCAACAAAAAAAACAAAGCTTAGAGACAAGAAAATATATAATTCTAAATTACTTAATAAAACAGGAAAGAAGAAAAGTACTATAATTCAAAAACATGGAAATTTAAACAACCCCATTAAATCATAGACCCAGGAGGATTCAAAATATCACAGAACTCAAGAGTATTGTTCCATTATTTGCAAATAAAGTGATGATTATAAATTTTTCTAGCTCTAGAATTGCTGATGTAAGCAATTCAAGCATTGGAATATATCATCTTGCTTTACAGGTCAACATAAGAGAAGATGATATATTACTCATTGTAACAGAGACTCTAAAGAAAATGAATCAAACCATATTTCTTACACATACAACTTTAAGGTTGTGATGACATGCTAAAATGCATACATAGCTAACCACCAAGCACTCAAAGTTTAGGAGTTAATGAAAATGTTGCATACATTGAATTTTCAACAGGATTTTTATGGTTTGAACAATGTCAACAATATTGAAAGAGCAATATAATACATATATATATATATATAGAGAGAGAGAGAGAGAGAGAGAAAGAAAGCCTGATTGCAAAAACAAAAAGAAAAATAATAGTATACAAAATAATCCCTACTTACTGTTCAAGCATCCAATAATAGCATACAAATTAATCCCCACTTACTGTTCAAGCATCCAATAACTGCGCCTTTGAAAGTTTTCATTTTCTTCTCCATGGGCATAGTAGCAGTGCAACACATCAACGCTTCCAACCTAAAATTGCTTTAAAGAAGTTACTCTTAGGCAAAACCTCCAGTCCAGGAGTATGAGTCACTAATTTTGTAAAAAATTATTGTGGTGAGATCAAATAAAATTTTAAGCACTTATCTCACACATGTACCATGCATGTCATCACAAATCATCATAAACCCAATACTCTAGACATGACACCAAGACAATCCAACACACATACTTGCAAGGAATTTCAACTTTTCTTGCAACCATGAGGACTTCGTCAATTGCTAAAATAATATACTAACAAGAACAAGAAAACCTCATCATCTATGGCTGCATTACCTACCTTCAGCTTCTCATGAGCTTCCTTCACAGTCTTTCCATCTTTTTTCTTCCTCCAATTATGTCCATCCTTCCTGAAGTATCTTAAAACCTTTCGATCGAAAAGAAAAAGTGAACCACCTGGCAAGTTTAAATTCATGTCAATCTATTTGGTTGTCTTACCCTTAAATCAACCATATCAAATAATCTTTCACAGATGACATCGATGTTGCCTGTTTTGCTTAAAGCATTTTCTTTCAGCTTTCATGATTGGCTAAAACAAGGTTTTAGGAAGGTAAAGTATATGAAAGAAAAGATAGAAGTACAAGTAAGGAGAACCCAAAACTAAGAATAAAACAACATTAATCGACTTCTAAAATATAATAATTCATCCGTGCATGCTAAAAGCAGTACTTAGTAATCATAATATAATTATGAATATCCACAATAAACAAATATTGTCAAGAATTTTATCCAACTCCAAAATGTTTTTTAAATGTTTTTTCAATGTTCATACTTGGAGGTCTGTTTGGAGGCTCTGATGCAATATGAAACTTCTGATAATTACGAAGAATTTCACAAATTTCAGCAGGTCGCAACCATCTATGCTGTGCTTCTAATAATATCTGTTCAATATCTGCAAATCAGAAAACAAAAAATTAATTAACAAAAAACTTATTGGCACAAGCAAACATAAAATAATTGAGGAATAAAACCATGAATCTAGCAACATCAAAAGAAAAATCCATTCATCAGTGCACACATGTCCAAGGGAGTGAAAAAGGAGAAGCACCTATTTTACCAAAAAGCTTCATTTGTATTATCAGTAAATGACATCATTGACCTATATTTCACTCTCACAAAATTAAAAAGTCGGATAATGAATGAAAAGAATTATCGAACTCAAATCGTGCACCATTTCTGTGTAATAGGAAAACATATGTCATATTGTTAATTTTTGGTTAGGCTATTCTCAGTTCCATAAAAGAGATAAAACTACAAATTGTCCATAACCCAAAAAGCTTCTGTCTGCATAACCTACTATACAAATGTAACTTCTGCTTTCATAGCAGATTATCAAGTATGAATTGCACTGTCGATTGATATCTATTACCTAAAATGATCCAGAACCATAGCACATTCTCATATTCACTCAGTCTATTTGATAGAGTGGTTTAGTATTATCTCTTCAGAGTCTTTTACAGTTAAAGTGATCTTACTTCAAAGCAACTTTATTGCTATGAGAAACTTTCCACTCTTCAGTGCAAGCAATAAAATAAACTAAATCTTCATAGATTCCATCACGAACAACAAAACCCTAATTCCCGTAATTTCCAGACAATATTAAGTTATTTAATGCTATCCATTCATCAATTATTCCCACCCGGTCACACTAATTGAATTAAGTTATTATCTCTAGACCTAACACCATTTTCTCAATCAAAAGCCCCGTAAAGTTTCTACTAAACCAAACACAATTCCACCACGGATCAATACAAAACTAATGGTAACTGAGAAAAAAAATACAAAACTAATAGTAATAACAGATTAATAATGATAAAACTCCAAGCAAATTCAACTTAAAAGCGCGTTAAAACAGTAAACGGATCTAAACCAAAAATGAAAACAGACTATCAAATAAATTTCAGGAAAAAAAAAAAGGACGAAAAGGACTAGCAGAAAGCTGACCTAATCGGGGAGCCAAACTGTACGAGGCTCGATCCGCCATGAGTAGAACGCGAAAAAGATCAATCGATTAGTTTTGTTTGAATTAGCAAGGAATACACCAAGGCTGAGAGGAGGTTTTTCTTCTTTTTGACTGTCAATTTTTTTTTCTCCTTTCTTTAAAGTATATTTATTGATGTGTGTGTGCATGTATTTGTGGAGCTGAGCAGACTTTTCGAAATCGAAAATGTGAAAACGATTTTCGGACCATTTTTCCTGTGTGAAAGTAGAAAGGCCGTGGAAAGTTCAGCTCGTGGAATTGTGGCAACTTAATTTGTGCCAATTGGTGGGCGACATCTGGCGGCGCGTTGAACTTCTTAGCAGGGATCTGAAACTTTTACCGCTTTCACCACTTTTTCCGGTTTTATATTTTCAGCTTTCCAAATTTTAATTTAAAATATATATATATATATAACAATAAAAGAGCAAAATTCATACTTGGCAGCGAAACGCCAGATCTAAATGCCGTTCCAGGGAAGCTTGTATCATTGGATGCTGATTGTTAGACAGGGTAATTGAATGTTGATTTAAATATAATATTAACGCATTTTCTTAAGTCGGTTGTAATAATAAATGAAAATAAAGTTTTCATATTGACTAGTGACACCAAATGGTCTAGCAAGTGTACTGGCTCAAATTCAAAATAAAAGTTTTATTGAAAAATAATCATGATATTGACAAATGCCACAAGAATTAGAGGTCGAAATTTGAAAATGAGAAACCAAAATATTCTAAATTTGAGTTTGGGTAGGCCAACTAGCCAAATTGATCTCAAAATCCATTTTCCAAACGTAGGTCGAAGCAGTCCTAGATAGGGCTGTGATAAGTCTATTTAGAATATCCTATACTTTTTGGTATACTTTGCCTTCACTCCCATGTTGTTTTCCAAGTTTATATGCATGAGACCTTGGATTACATAAATTGATGTCTTTTTTTTTTTGTTAAATTACTTTTAAATAACGTACTTATCACTAGATTTCTCCAACTGTTCCAATCACTTTCTTCCCATGTTGAGCTAATCATGAATTTATGATTACTAGAAAAATCATGTATTGATATAAATTTTTTTTTTTTGAAAATAATGTATTGATATAAATTTATGTGATGAATATTCATTTAACTGTGATTGATACAAAAAGCATAATTGTATAACATTATACAAGATGAGTTTAGTTAATATTTTCAATTTGCATTTGGATGGTCTTGCCTTGTATACTAAAAATCGAAGGGGTAGAATATCATTACATATCAATGAAAATTATCAATATATCATCAGGTAATAAAAATTAACACTTAATATTTTCACTTTTACTGTTATTAGCTCAAAGATTTCGTACACTATTAATACATATACTCTATAAATTATATATGTATATTGTCAATGAAAAAAAAAATTATCACCTCATCAATAAATGAATTTAAAAATTCAAAATTCTTTCAAAATAAATACATAATTTTTATGAAATCAATAGTTTTTTTTATTCTTTTCAATCCCATTTTCACTTTTCCTTCCTTGGAAGATTATGTGGAAAATCCTCTCCCTCAGTCCTTTTAACTTTCCCTTTCCAGTCCTGCCAAACATAACTGTCACCTTTACGTTGCCTACAGCTCAACATGTTCCTCCTTTTTTTTCTGTTTTCTCTCTCTCTCTTTCTTTGATTTTTTCTCTTTCCACCTATCGGTCAATTGATTCTTTTTGGATGTCCATAGAAAATCCTTCCCTTTAAATTCAAATTTTTAATTTGATGAAGAAAGATGAGTTAGATGTGGATTTCTTCAATGCCATTAAAAAAAAAAAAACAGAGAGAAAGGAGTTGGTTTAATATGATTTAAAAAGTGCATGAGTTTATGGACTTGGCGGCATGTGTTAGCTGCTTAAGAAAATTCTTCCCCTTTAAAATTAATTCATGAATGTTTAATTAGATCTTTGTTCTGTTTGATGGATTTGAAACCTATGTTATGAAGCACATATTATTTTTTGTGTGGATTGATGGGAAAAAGGCATGCAATTCTATTACTAGCACAATGAAAATTTTAAAAAAAATTAGTAAAAAAAAATTAGTTATTTAACATAGATATATTTATAATATATATAAAAATAAGATAATTGATTGAGTTAATTAGTTGACACCTGTCATTATCAATTGAATTAATTTTGTTTATACACCTTATGTCAAAATTATGTTACTTTTGATATTTGAAGGGTTATTTTCACTTTTATTTATTTCAGTAAGAAATACTTAAAAATAATTTATAACTTTTAATATTTAGAGGATAGATTCATTTAATATTTATCAATTATAATTTAATATTATTTTTTGTCTATATTTTCTTATTTTATATGAACTTGAATTCATAGTATTTAGATATCTCTTTTATGCATGAATATTTAAATTCCAATAAATATCCATCCAATTTATTGAACAAAATAAAAAAGTTAAGAACGTCTACTCATTTCTCAATATACATAGCACACAGTCATCATTGAATAAACAAATCAACTAAATTTGATAATTTTTAGCTATTCATTTTATATATAAAAGACATATATCACTAGAAATTAGTAACTATTTCTTATTGATTTCTCACTATACATAACACACAGTCATCATTGAATTTGATAACTTTTAGTCATTCATTTTATATATAAAAGACAGATACTACTAAAAATTAGTAATTATTTTATATTGATTATGTCTTTATATTATACTGTTGCCTTATATTCTACAACCATTTATCTTAATCAGCAAATAGAATAGGTTATATATTCTTTTATTTCTTAATATTTTATTATACATCTAATAATCTTTGATAGGTTTATTATCTTCTTTGGATAAGTATTGCTTTATAATCATATATGTAGGTACAAGTTTCAAGTAATTGAAACTAAACAAACAACTATCTTCAATTAATACCAGTTTATTTTCTCCTTTACCAACAAGAACCATATATTCATGCAATTCAGTAACACAATATAGCATAACAAAAAAAACCAAAGAAATGGAAACAAATGTATATGGCAAAAAGAAGAGCAAACTATCACTATAATTAGACATATCTAATGGTTATGTAATAGTTTATATTTTATTAACATTTAGTTAAGTACAAGTTCTACATCTAAATAGTTGATATACATCATCTAACAAAAATAGAAATATTCAGATCACAAATGTTATTCATTGGTTTGAAAAATATATTTGTAATGAAAAAAAAATTACTGGATGTTTAACAAGATTATTATCTTCTTTGGTTAAGTACTATTTCAAAACTATATATTTAGGAACAATTTTTAGTGATTGAAACCAAAGCAAATAACTATCTTCAATTAATACCAGTTTATCTTTTTCTTTACCAATAAGAACCATACATTCATGTAGTAGACTAAAACTATATAACTCTTCCCACAAACTATTTTGAAGGTATCATATTAAAGTCCACTTCAACATAATCTATATTTCCTATAATCTTTTCTGTAGCTTAACTACGAGCACCATCATAGTATTAATTAAAGGAATAAGATCATTATACCTTCTGTCATTGGAATCATAATTACAAAATATTCAAACACAATTTCAATCTTAGTACCAAGCTTGGGTTATAACAAGTCACAAGTTGTTTAATTGTATAGTTTCTAGTAATAATTCATACAAATGACAATTGCGAATAACTCTAAAGGAGAATGACGTTGTTTATGCTTGCAGAGCCTAGTGCTAGCTATGGAAAAAGTAATTAGAGTTTTCTCTTTATAAGGAGAAGTTGAAACACAACTAACAATTATAAGGAATAAAATCAACAACAGAGAACTAATTTTTGAGGTAAGTGTGATTTATTGACTTTTTCCTTTTTGCTTGATGTACAGGATTTTGATCAACTATTGCTTAAGCCATGATTAGTAAAAGAAATACCAAAAGTCATCACTCAAAGGAAGAAGAATCTATGGCTGAATTGGTGAAGGAAGATGAATGGATAATTCATAAGGTTAAGAGAAATGGACTCACAGGGTTTCACCTCCATTGTCGATTTTGATCTATACTCCAATTAGTCACAAAGTTAATTTTGAGCCAAAATTTTGGTCAAATTCATCATTATCTTTTTAAACATTTCGAAGAAAACTGATGCGAGGGAGTGTTGATCAACATTTTAAATAATGTAAAAGATGTATAAGTAAAAAATACATGTAGATTCATATTTATTTTTTATCCAACCTAGTCGATTGACACGCACTTAAGCATTTGGCTTATTAGTTAGTGTATGATCCTTCTCTTAAAAAGTAAGGTTTTAATCGCTCTTCCTCCAAATCTAAAAAAAAACCTAGTCGATTGACGCTATGAAGTATTTGTCGAAAATTTACTAGTTCGATAGACACATGGTAATGTTGATTGACTTTTGGTCTTTTCCATAACAGTAATTTTTTTAAAAAATTATTTTTTCTCTAAACCCTAAAATTAAGATTTTCTCTAATGCAATTAAATTTGTTGAAAAGATATCATCAGCAATTTTTACGTAATTTCAAAAACATTTCAATAGATTGTCATAATTACCATTTTTCAATGAAAAAGATATAGTCAAAAACTAGTCAAAATATTCATTGACATCTAAACATTATGTATGATGCAAAAATTTTGGACAGATTATTCCATCAGTAATTGGATATTCCAACGAAATAGTCCATCTAAAATTTGGTCAAAACTCATTTAAAATTAGTAGAGTTTGTGACGAAGATCCAAACTCTAAAGCAAGACATTGCTTCAATTCGAGATGAAACAAACCTCAACAATGACAACATATAGGATATGAAGAATTCCATTGCACAATTGTTGTAATGAGGAGAAACGTTGAAGCAATATGATTTGTCTAAAACTGGAGTGTAGCATTTCTAATTTTTTGTGTAAATTAAGTTAACTAATAATAATTTATGAAATATATTGAGTCTTAAGGACTTTGATGATATGTTAAGTATGCTAAGTGCATGGAAGTACGTATATTTACATTTAGGTAAAATTTTTATAAAAATATGTGATAAATCTTATAGTTTAAGGCTTTGATTTGAATTTGGTATTATATTTGAGGAAATATGTACATGAGATATGAGTTTAAATGGTTATGAGAATTGTGATTTAAGCAGGGATGATTTTGGGTGTTGAAGTTTGGATTTTTGGAAGTTTGGAAAGCTAAAAGACTTCCTATAATGGAAAATGTATCGAGACATTCCCACGATGCATTATTAGCAAGA